TTGAGGTAGAGATATTTTCTTGATTTCTCATATTTTTGTGCTTCTGTGCTTTTTTTTTAATTTCTTGATTTAAAAATGTATTGTAAATCTTTTTATTTTATTTAAATTTATTTATTTGCTTTCATTCACTGTACATCAATACAGTACTCAAAATGAGATTTTTCCATCTAGAATACATTGTATATTGGCTCAATCAAAGATATTACTATACATGTTATCATCAACGAATAATTTTCTATTTATTGTTTCTTATATATTTTACTGTTTTTTTCCTCCTTGATTCCCTAACTTTCACCATGCCACTTCCGCATCTTTTCCCACACTGTATCTGGTATCTACAGTTGTTCTCAATACCTTTCTTTTTTTTCCACATCTTATGGATTCACTAAAGATCTTAATTAATTCAAAAGCTTTCAATAGGAATCACAGCTGATATATACATGAATTTTCCAACATGAATACATTTTATACCAGTCCAGTTGGGGATACTATATACATTATCATCGATAGATAATAATCCATTTCTGTGTCCCATAAATGTCTTGTCTCTGTATTTTTATCCTTAAAGTCTTTTTTCAGACTCTCCTCTTTCTCCCATCCTCTTCCCACACTGTATCCAGTATCTATCATCATTTTCTATATCCTCTAGTCTTTCAGTTTCAGTCATAGAGTGTAGTCAGTATTATTAAGTGGAGAAATACAATGTCTCTCCTTCATAGATTGCTTTGCTTCACTTAGTATTACTAAGATAGTATTACTACTATCTTCCATCTTAATCCACTTTCTATCAAAAGCCAGGGTTTTTCACTTTCAATTTTGTATGTCATTTTCCCATTCCTGTACACTTCACTTTTCTTTTCCAGAATTTAAATACCATGTGACCACCAGGCTACACAGAGTTGTCTGGAAGATGGTCTGGGACGACTGCCCAATTTAAATTGTGTTAAGATTTCCTCAATTAAAACTTCACTCAATTAAATTGACTTTGTTTTTTGTTTGTTTGTTTTTGCTTTTTCTTTTTAATGATATCATCACTGGATCCCACACCCAATCTCTTTTTCAAGTTTCTCACTGCAGGAACTGCATTGGGAGCAGTTTGTCATGAATGAGATGAATGTGGTCACAGCTCTCTGCTTGCTCCACATTGTGTTCTCTGTGAACCCCTCACAGCTGCCCATCAAGATTGCTCAGTTGGTCCTGTGCTCTAAGAATGGCATCCACCTCCACCTGAAGCCCCTGAACCCCAGGTCTCATATGTAGTTCTGCTGAGAGGAGGGATTCAGATGACTCAGGCTGTGGCCTCTCCCTGGCACCACCCTGCCCGGGCTGAATGTGGAGTGGTTGTGGCTTGCTATCTTTAGGAGACCATGGATTAGATGGGAGCTGGAAGTGACATAGACAACCACCTGGAGATCAGTGCCAGCTAAACATGTGTGTCTATAAATGTTCACTGTGCATGTATCTAGAGCTCATTCATTCACTCAACAAACCACTGGTGAGCATCTACTTGTTTTTTTTTTTTTTGAGAGATTTTCACTTTTGGGCGCGTCAGACAGACAGAGAGAGACATAGAGACAGAAAGCGAGAAATCACCCCCCAGGGGGGATGGTCACGCTGCAATCCCTTCTCCTCCATTCTCCTCTCGGGATCTTGGGCACGCACGCACACGCGCCTGGCGTGAGTTTTAAGCCACCGGGTCCGGGCCAGGAACCGCGGTTGACTACGTGGGAGTCCAGCGACATAGCCATTACGCCAACTGCTGGTTCCCAGCATCTACTTGTTTTGAGAAATAAAATCTATTTGCCTCCTACACTTGGCAATCTTTCTCAAATGTGCAGAAACTTAACATTCCAACCTTAGTGTCTCATAGTGAACCCAGTGGAAGCTTGGCCTTGAGATTCATGGTTATGACCAGGTACCACACTACAGAGAGATGGCTTCAGGATTGCTCCTTCATTAAATTGTGTTTCTTGTTTTAACATTGTATGTGTGTGTGTGTGTTTGTGTATGTGTGTTTGTGTCTGGAATATATAACTGACATAAGGAAAAGTTGCCTAAACCAAGACTACACAAAATAACGAATAATTCTAGAGCGAACTCCCTTGTGATCACCACCAGAGTCATGGACTATGGAAAATGGTTTCACTGGTGTGTCTTCTGCCCCTCTCCTGAGATGGATCTCTGTGGCACTCCTGCCACCATCAGCATCTCTGTCTCCTAGTCACACAGTGCCCTGGGTATTCGTGGTCTGGCTGGGAAGGGAGTAGAGTAGCAATAAGAGTGGGTTTCCTAGAAGAAACAGAGCCCCTTTAAATCAGCTGGAATCCAGCCTTGAAGCATGGATGAGGTATGAAAGTGCAAAGAAGGAGTCTTGGGGAGGGCATCAGCCTGGAGGCCACATGATGACTTAGAGGTCTTTCCCTGTCCCCTCCTGTAGCAGCTGCCTGGTGGCTGACAGTTCCACATACTTCTACAGTTCAAGATCTAAAGCCATTAGTGGGATCCAATCTTGGAAGAAGGCCACATCCCAGGTAGGTCATCACAGGGTATCTATTCACTCCTGCAGAGCGTTGGTATAACTTTTCCACCATAGATTCTGAGTTTGCAATGGGGAGAGAAGGGATGTGAAGGGGAGGGGTAAGACCACCTATGTTTAGATATAGCAAACAAAGCAGGGTCTGGGTTGCAAGAGTAAGGAAGCAGGGACGCTAGCTCAGGGAACCCAGTGAGAGGACACAGAGTCTGGGTGTTGGGAATGGGCCTCAAGCTGGGACACTAGCACCCAGGAACGCACCAAGTGGGGACAAGGTTCAGGACAGCCCTCTTCCTTCATGGTGGTCAGACAGGGACTCAGGAGACTGGCAAGAGGCTGTCCAGGGGAGCATGGCTGCTGGGGTCTGAGGTTCAATTCCAAGGGTCAGACCCACATGCCCCACTAGGCCCTATCCAGACTTGTTGGACAGCAATCTACTGCAGGAACCTCCTAGGGAGCTGGGAGAGGGGCCTGAGTGTGAGGAAGCCAGCAGTGCCTGGTGACATGGCCAGGTTTGGCTTTCTCTTTGCATCTCACTGGGAGTATAAGAAGCTGGGTCCCTGGGGCTGTTATTCCAGCCTAGTTAGAGAGATTTCCTACTCAGCATAAGACCACCAAGCCCGGCCCCATTGTGAAACTTTGAGTGTGAGAAAAGCTAGCCCAGCTCTTCCTGCCATCTTTCTGTGACACCACAATGGTCCTGGCTGTTGATCTCAAGAGCATTAACAATGCCAGAAAGTGAGGCAAATGACAGGACAATGCTCCAAAGTCATTATCCGGGATCTACCTGTGATGACGAAGCATAGTTACATTGGCCAAATCATCTGTGACCTTAGGGAAGAACTGATGTGAACCTCACTGGCAGCTAAACCAGTGTGGAGTGATCAGTCTCAGATTTGATGTGCAGCTCAGAGATGTAAAATAATGGCAGCATCATCTACTGCTGTCCCGTCAGTTTGGTTTCGTTGCACTGACATCTTCGGCTGGCGTCATGGACCACGATGAAGCAAGACAGAAACATACGAGAGAGAAAATCTTGGGATTTTTTCGTAGATGTGTAACACACACACATACACACACACACACACACACACACACACACACAAATAAAATGCCTCAATGGAAAGAAAAGAAAGAAAAGAAAAACTAACCCAGAACAGAATTGTGTGGGCCACTTTCCCAACAGGTGCGAGCTCCTCTCTTTGAGTTCCCAGAGAAGAGAAGAGTGTTTGTCTATACTCCTTTGCCAGGGACCTTGAGAGCTGCAAAGGGTGTGGGGTATCAAGGCTCACATGGTAGGAAGATGTGTGAAGGGGCCAGGATCTGTCAGGCAGGCTGGGGTCCTCCATTCTCCTTCCTCAGAGGGACTTATCTCTGCTGTCCTTTCTTCTGTCTCTCCTCTATTCTCTTGACCTCCCTGCAAGGGAAGCTGGACACTACATTCAACCTTGTGAACATTATTCTAGGGAGGAGGGAAGACAGAGAGGATGTAGGAATACTGTCAGGTGGATGGGTACTGCCCAGAGAGATGTCCATTGACAGACCAGGTAACAGGGACTGTTGATCTCAAGAGCATTAACAATGCCAGAAAGTGAGGCAAATGACAGGACAATGCTCCAAAGTCATTATCCGGGATCTACCTGTGATGACGAAGCATAGTTACATTGGCCAAATCATCTGTGACCTTAGGGAAGAACTGATGTGAACCTCAGTTCTAGGGACTGTGCTGCCTTGAAAAATGACTTCCACATCACACTCCTCTTCTTCCCTGAAACTCATGAATATATGACCTTATATGTCAAAATGGACATTGAAGATGTTGGTAAGTAAGAAATCTTAACATGGCAAATGATCCAATGAGGTTCCACATAATGACCAGAGTCCTGATAGAGGGAAGTATGTAAAGACAGTAAAAGAGAGGGATCCAAAGAGGCTGCTGGCTCTTGAGAAAGAAAGGAGTCCGTACCAAGGAATTAAAGAACTGTATCTCTAGAGCTGAGCAGCCAGGGCATGGGGCTCCTCTAGAACCTGCAGATGGCACTTGACAAGTTGGCAACTTGGTTTTGCACACCCTCTGTAATAAGACCCCTGCTCTTCATGCCAGGTGGGACAGAGTCCAAGTGTCCCAGCTACCATCACACCCACACTTGACCCATTTCATACTTCTGATATCCAGAACAATAATATTGCACATTTATGTTGTTTTAGTTCACTAAGGATATAGCAGTTTATTACAGCAGCAATGGGGACTTCAGACAGGAACCTACACATGCAGGCAGAAAGGTAAAGGGAGGAGGCAGATAGGCTGGAGGGCGGGCAGTGATCAGGAGTGAGATGGTCAGGTAGAGTCACAGGTGACATCAGGGAGAAGCAGGTGGGGACCCCAGAGAAAGGAGAGAGCATGTAGACAGAAAGACAGACAGACAAGAGGCAGGAGCAGGCAGTTTGCAAGTTGGACAGGTGGGCAGGTACAAGCAGGATGTGGGCAGTGGACCAGAGCAGGGGACAAGAGGACAGCACGGCAATTGGAAGTCTTCAGAGCCTGTTGTCCTCATGAGGGTGAGCTGAGCTTCTTGAGATGCAGGTGGATCCCATTGCTGGACTTCAGCACCATCTGTGCTATTGGGTTGGGGACCCTGAAGGGATCTGGCAGCAGCTCAAAGCGGAGCAGGGTCAGGGCCACGGCCACCTTCAGCTCGTTCATGGCAAATTGTTTCCCAATGCAGTTCCTAGGCCAGAAGGGGACAGTGAAGTGAGAAGTGGCCACAGGCCTGGTTCTGAGCTGGGCTTGCAGGGACCTCCTTCATGTGGCCCAGCCCTCGCCCCTTTTACCTCTATCTCCACCCCAGCCCTGGTTCATGGTCTCCCTGACCTTCCTCAAAGCCACCTATGTTCCAGGGCTGGCCCTGACCCCACTCAGCAGGCCTCAAATATCTGCTTGACACGTCAGCACTCCAAGGCACAGTCTAACCACCTCAGTCACCTCATAGAGTCGATCATTGGTTTCCTCACTTCATTCATAAACACTTTCTGGAATGTCACTGTGGCAGGGATATGATGGCATGGATAGGGCACACCCTCAGCTGCTTACTGTCTAGGGGCTCACAGGAACTAAGGACTAAGAGAAGAAGCAAAGTGTCATCAGGGATCCTCCCAGGAGGAAAGATCCCATAGCCACCTTCCCTCCTCTGTCTGCAGCACAGTCTGGACACCAGTGGTCAAGGCTTCTGCCTTTCCACTCTTAGTCCACTAGCTTCTGTAACTACTTCCATTCCAGAAATGTCTCTACTACCATCCCATAGTCTCCTCACTTGGAGTTTCTGATGTTCCTGCTTCTGCTCTCCACACTGACACTGCAGGCCAGCTCGACTCCACCAGGATCTTTTCTTTAAATTTTATTTAATTTTTGTCTTTTTTTTTTTTTTGAGAGTTTTTTGTTTTGTTTTGTTTTGTTTTTGCTATAAGGCATGTGCACTCACCAGACAGAGACAGAGAGATAAAAAGCAAGAAATCACCCCCTGGGGGGATGGCCATGCCACAATCCCTTCTCCTCCATTCCCCTCTCAGGATCTTGGACACGCACGTACACGCGCCCGGTGTGAGTTTAAGCCACTGGGTCCGGGACTCGAACTGTGGTCGACTACATGGGAGTCCAGCGACACAGCCATTATGCTAACTGCTGGTCCCTAATTTTTGTCTTTATTCATGATATACAGCATGTACTGCCACATGAGAGACAGAGAAAGAGAGAACTCAGAGCCTCCATAGTTAGAACCCTACTCATACCGTGTGGGACAGAGTCCAAGTGCCCCAGCAGCCATCAAACCTGTGCCTTGCCCGCCTCTGATCTGGCCAGCCCCACCTTCTCACTCAGGTCATGTGTAGACCACAGGGAATGTCTTTCTTCCACCTCTGCCTGGTCCTCCTCAAGGCTAATACTTTCATTTATTTATTTTTTTTGAGAGGTTTTTGTTACTGGGCATGTGTGCTCACCAGAGAGACAGAGGGAGACAGAGAGATAGAAAGTGAGAAATCACCCCCGAGGAGGGATGGCCACGTCGCAATCCCTTCTCCTCTATTCTCCTCTCGGGATCCTGGGCATGCACGCACATGCACCCAGTGTGAGTTTAAGCCACTAAGTCCGGGACTCGAACTGCAGTTGACTACAAGGGAGTCCAGCAACATAGCCATTACACTAACTGCTGGTCCTCCTCAAGGCTAACTCTAAAGTTCCAGGGGCCTTTGGCCTTCTGCCAGTCCTATCTCACTCTCGGGACACCAGGACACCACCAGTGCTGTATTCAGTCTTGCACAAGAACACACCCCAGCCCTTGTGCAAGATGGAGTCAGGGACACGCAACACTCAGAATCTGCTCAGCCAGAGAGTAAGGGAGTGGACGAGCAATTTTTGTCTGCCCTGAGTACAGGCCTGTGTTTCTGCAAACACATTTCTGTTTTGTCTCTGAGGTCTTGGAGATAGGTACCATTTCCTCCATCTGTGTTCACATATCTTCCCACAGAACTTGGCACAGTACCCACTTGTAAAATATTTTTGTACGTGAAGTGGATTAAATGAAAAATAAAAACAGATAGGGAGATGCTGAAAGTCACTATCAGTGTTGAGCTCAAAGTGGAGTTCCTGTGCTCTACTGCCCCCTAATGACAGCAACATGACATGCAGGGTCAAGGGCTCAGCCTGGGAGAAACCAGTCCTAGACAGCCATCTTCTGAACAATTTGCTAAAGCCTGCTCTGTGTCAGTCGATTCACCATTTCAAGAATGTGGAGAATTATTGATCAGAGAGACTTTGTACCAACTCCTTACAAAATATGGTAATCTGCAGTGCACTGATGACTTCTGCCTCACGTGGGGATTTTCACAACAGCCATCATGTGTCCTGGTCTAGCTCAAAAGCCAATTTAAGTAAGTTTTATATTTTAAAGACCAGGAACCTTTCAAGTGCTATTCATATTAAATAGTGTGTTTTTCCCTCAAAGGTGGTGCATTTTCCTTATTTTTATGTTTCTGTCAATGTTGGATTAAATAGACCTGTGTAGTCATTTCAAGGCATGTAGATTCTACTCTGCGTGTCCAGTTTTGATTTCTGGAAGAGTTGCAAAAGGAATGCAAACATTTTCAGGCAGTCCAAAGTCGGGCTGAGGTAAGCTGCAAATTAGAGATGACACAGGTGGTGTAAAACCTTAAAGGACTGCTGCACCCTTCCAATATATGACTGGATTGTCAGGACAGGCAAGGCTTCTAGGAAACAATCCTGTGCCAACGAATCATTTGCTTCAGTTACTCAGTGATTAGGGAATGGTGCACACAAGTGGTGAGATGCATTGAGGCTGTGTGGGAAGAGAGGACTAAACCTTTTAACATTCCTGGCCATTGCAAAGGGCAAAACCTCAATTTCAATTTATATAATAAAATCTAACTCATAAAAGTTCTATCTCTGGGACCAGCAGTTAGCGTAATGGCTATGTCGCTGGACTCCCATGTAGTAGACCGTGGTTTGCGTCCCAGACCCGGTGGCTTAAACTCACGCCAGGCGTGTGTGTGTGCGTGCCCAGGACCCCGAGAGGAGAAAGGAGGAGAAGGGATTGAGGCGTGGTCATCCCCTGTGTGGGGGGGGTGATTTCTCGCTTTCTGTCTCTCTGTCTCTCTCTGTCTGTCTAGTGAGCGCACGCGCCCTATAGCAAAAAGCTTTCCAAAAAAAAAAAAAAGTTCTGTCTCTAAAAGGAGGAAAACATTGAGTGCACTGAATTGGAAAGAGGCACTGACAGTGAGTGCTGGCTGTCAGTGGATGAACAATAAGTCAATGTCTCCATGGTGCACCCCCAAATCCCATCTAGTTGTGCACAGAAACTCCACAGGAGCCTTTGTTCTCATAACACTAATAAGAAAATGACTAATGATAAAATCTATTAGTGTGTAGAACCACATCCATTCAGGAATCGTTATAGGTGACAACCCCAGCCCAAATCCTACACACACGATGTCTCACCTGGACCCTGCTGAGAAGGGCAGGAAAGCGTGACTGTGTCGAGTAGAACCTGGTGCAAACCGGAAAGGGTCGAACATCTATGGAGAGAGCAGCAGCACCAGGACAGGTAGGGATCAACCTCTGCTCCCATCCCATGAGGGAAAGGACACCCACTGGTGGGAGAAGGCAGAGGAACTGGTGCCGAGAGATTTTCCCACACACTCCTCCCAGGCCTTCATACCTCTGGGTTCGGCCACACCTCTGGGTTGTGGTGAAGGGCATAGAAGGACAGTGAGACCGTGATACCTGCGGGACAGGCAGGGCACAGAGAGAATGATCAGACCCAAGGGATGTGGACCTGATATCTCAGCCAACATGGACTGTACAGAAACTTGGATGCCAGTAATCATCTCTTTTAACAATACAATTTTTTTTTATGGAGAGGTTTTTGCTATAGGGTATGTGCGCTCACCAGAAAGACAGAGAGAGACAGAGAGACAGAAAGCAAGAAATCATCCTCCAGGGAAGACGGCCACTCCACAATCCTTTCTCCTCCATTCTCCTCTCAGGATCTTGGGCTGGGCATGCAAGCACATGCACCTGGTGTGAGTTTAAGCCACCAGGTCCAGGACTTAAACCATGGCCGACTACACGGGAGTCCAGCGACATAGCCATTATGCCAACTGCTGGTCCAAACAATGTGATCTTTTTGCGAGAGAGGTGGGATGGGCTCAGGAAGTCCTGAACACAGGAATGAGACTTCTACAGCCTCAAGATGAGAGTAAGAAAGCACTAGACACTTCCTGTTTATAATAACTCCAGTGACAAGTTAGGTTTGTACATTACTTCTCAAGAGCTGCTGGGGAAACACATGAATGCATTCAGTCCTCAGAACAATTCACCAAGGTAGGCACTTTCATATCTCCATTGTTCTAATGAAGCATTTGAAGCTCAGAGAGGTGAAGTGACTTCCCCATAATCACACAGTTAGGATGTGACTCCGCTGAAATAAGATCCAATGATGAGTGAGCCTGTGGCTCAACCATAACAAGGGCCAAAAATCTTATCATTAACTGCTCTCTGTCATTACCCTGAGGGCTCCTCAAGACTGGACCACATTGGTCCTGTAACAATGCATACCTGATCACCCTTGTTTACCTCCACCTCCTATCCCTGTCAGAATCCTCTCCAGTCCTCCATGTCTCAGGGAATGAGCACTTTAAAGCTAACATCCCAAGGCCATATCCAGAGCTATGGATGTCACTTAACATGTGGAGAAGATTGCAAGGACTTGGGCATCATCATATCGACTGTTAGGCACATCATTTTAAACTTACCACAGCTGAGGTATCTGCATATTATATCAAATTTGGAAGATGTGAAATAGTGTAAAAATTGGCCTGGTGGTGAAGGCAGCTAGATCCCACAGGGTCGACTCTGTGGTCTGTGATCTGATGGCTTGAAAAACATCGTGGTCCTGCGTGCATTTTTGTTGAAAGAATTGAAAGGAAGAAGACATGGAGTAGAAGAAATTGAAGTGGGATCATATCCTACATGGTCTGTTTTCCTGCCTCCCCTCTCTCTGTTTCTCTGTCTCTCTGGTGAGCACATGTGCACAGAGTGGTCTCTGACTACTATTAGCTTTGACTCAGAAATAGAGGCCAGGAATGTCAGAGTCAAAGAAAATTAGTGCCACCAAAATGAAGATAAACATATAAGACAATAGATTCTAAAGGGGGTGGA